CTTGGTTCAGCTTCAACTTCTAACCCTGGTTTTGCAGACCAAATCAAATTCATGTTGTAAACCATAATAATGGTACAATAAACAACCTCATATCTTAATTATTTACTAAAATTTTAAATATTTTTCACAATAGGCTTTACTTACAAAAGAAAAAAAAAATCATCATGTGATTTAAGATGTGCTAAAGGGCGAATGCAATGAGCCCAAACATGAGGATCGCTGGCACTAGTCCATTTACTTCATCACCATGCCCAAACTTCAGGGAAAGCTCATTGTTAGGGTCGGAAATGTCCCAAGTTGATCCAAAGGAGATTAATTAATAGCACTTAAAAAAAAGGATTTTGGAATCTTAAACTTGAAGGATTTTAAGGAACGAAACAAAACTAACAAGGTAATAGATCACCTAGTAAGGAAGATCGGTTAAAAGAAAAAGATCATGCAAATTAATTTATACTAGTTCAGTCATCCATTATTTTGACCGACTTTGTTAAAGATTTTTATTAATTGACCATTCAATGATATATTCTTATTAAGTTAGTATTTTTTTATGAACGGTAATTGGTACTTTTTCTAATAATGTCCCAACTCATTCTAATTGGACATTTTTCTATATGATTATATCAAATGTTAATATTTATATTTATGTCCAAACAAAAATAGATATAAGAAGAAATTCTTGAATTTTTGAAATACTATAAAAAAATTATAATGACAAAAAAATTAAAAATAAAAAGCACAGACATATACTAATAGTGAGTTATAGTATAGATAAATCTATAATATCATTTATATTTTAAAAATATTTATCAATTTTTTTATTCCAAAATTTTCTATCACACTTTGATCTTAAATTTGTTAAATTAATCAATAATATTGACTTGATATCTGTTATAAAATACAAACAAAATTATTTAACGCAATCTAAATTATAAAAATGCCTATAACTTGTATTAATAGTCGATAATGGCATTAAAATCTGTCAAAAGTTGTCTAAAAATCTGACGATAAAAACCCATTTGGGTTCGAAATTAGTTAATAAATTCCATCAATATTCCATCAACGCTCTGTAAAAAAAAAGAAGAGGTATTATGGTAATTTACTAGTAATTGATGATATGTAACAAATATTCAAACACATCGATCTAAAATATATGAACAAACATTCAAACACACAACTGAATTATCTAAACAAATACTTAATGTAAAACATATCTATACAAAAAATTATCATCCATTATTATTCAAGTGATGAAAGTTTATGCATAAAGATGCAGTTCAGTGACAAAGCAATGTCATTGTCTCCTCTTGCAACCTTACCTGCATTGGAAATGCTCGCCTATTGAGGTGGAGGAACAGCAATTACCTCCCCATCATTTGCATAATTCACTCCATGAAGGTCTTAATAGTCTCATTATTCTCCTTCATTTGCTATCGCATTTCTAGCACATTTTCATGATTCTTCGTTACAAATGTCAAGAACATTTTCTTCTAGATTTTGAACTTTCTGTTTGAGAGGACCCTAATGAGAAGCTTTTGCCCCCGAAGGTCCACATGCTAACTTAGACGTTGGTGCAAGCAAAGTTGTAGCAGGCACCATAGTCCCAAAGCCATACACGTGAGTATTGGTCTTTGATCCTCCAATTGGTTGAGCTAAGCACGCAAGACGAACTTCGTCTGAGAGGAGGTATAATGCAAAAGTACAGATTTCTTCCAAAAATACGAACACAAAAGATGAAATTTTATATTTTTCATATAAAAATAGTTAAAATTTAAAGTATAAATCAAGCTAAGTTCACTTACACTAATAATTTTGGACTTGTTATCCAAAAAACCACCAATCTTGTTAAACATTTATGTGGCCCGTTGAATACTTTGGAGAATGTGACAGGATGCTTCCGCTGATATGACTACTTTCATTTACAAAAGAAATAATTTGCCAATTTAATGATTACTTCTTTTTAGTTAATCGACATATCGTGCTTTGTATAAAATGATGATTAAAACATAAAACTAAGTAAATGGTAATTCATACATCCTATTTGCACATACAGATAAAGGAAGTGAATAGTCAATGTGTTGGTAATGCTTCACTCTTTTTTCCATTAAGCAATTCGCCTTTCCTTTCTGAGATCGATTTTACCATTTATTACGGCCCATTCTTCATAAATACGAGCATCCTAAATTTCTCTCATGATTAATGGCCTTGACATCTTTTTACAATCTCTAATGATATTCACACTAGCCTCTGCCATTGCTTTTTTTTTACTCTTCTCCTAGCATGTCTTTCAATCTATCTTTACAAATCCTCACTTAGATGTTATTCATTATTTCATAAAATAGAGTTATTTTTGTTGGTATGTGCCCTTGAGCCAATTAGATTGGTCAAAAAATAAATATTGTCATTTAATGCATATTTAATCGCATAATTTTATATGACAAAGGTTTTCCTTCATGTTAGTGAAATAATAAGGAGTTATTAAATACTATTTGGATGAAGCCTATGGAACATAAAGGCTTTGCAAGGGAATTATAAAGTTGTTATAATTATGAGATCACTATGCATCAAAGCCATGTTCTTAAAATTATTCCTGGTTATTGTATTATCAAGACAGGGTATTGACAATGTTCAAAGATTGGTCCATGTTAAACGTCCTTACTTAGGAAGTAAGTAATCAATCTCATAGATTGAAGTATATGAGATACTTGAGGATAACATGTAGGTGCTTGTTAAATAACAAAGTTCACTGAACATGAACTGCTATGAGAATTCCATTTGGTATTTCACTCATGTTTCTATGAAAAATGTTCTCATGTGATAGCCGTACAACTAGTCCTTAGACTTGAGACACCAAGACATCTTATATGGGGAATGACATACTTTGATTTTACCTTTACGGGTTTAGAAGCAACCAAATGCCTAAATAGGGTGTTTTTTGGTATGCCATGAAGCATGCGAAGGTGAATAAGTGGTCAAGAGAGGATTTATCACCCCAAGTGATATGAGGGGATGTATCTCACTTGTTCTCAATTCTTGATTAACTTGTATAAAATTTTTAGCCAAAGCATGATGAATTTGAGGAAAATTAGTTTCCTAAATTCATAAGGTTAGTCATAATTATGAGAACTAATATGGAATGTCATAAGTAGACACCGAGTCATGCTTAATGACATATCCGAGATATTTGATGAAAGAATTGTATTACATTGAGAGGTTTATCACTGAAGGGCTTTGTAAAATTTTTTAATTGACTCTCTAACATTTAGGTGGTTATAATGTATTGCTAGATGTCACTCATAATCTATAAATATAAATTAATTATCAAATTGATATTTGATTATGATT